TTTTTTTTGTTGTAGTTGTTACTGTTGTTCAGCAGGCCTGGGCTGCGTTCTAACCCACCAACTCCAGTGTATGTGGCTAGCGCCCTAACCACTGAGCTATGGGTGCTGAGCCATGATGCATGTTTTCATCAAAAGCAATTTAGGGCCTCCACTGACCTCTTCAGGCTCTTTCCTTCACTTAGATTTTTTCATTTAGGAAACTAATAATCTGGAAACGTGCACAATAAAATAAAAGGCTGACAACAAAATAGCTCAGATAATAGGATGTTATTTATTTAAAAACTAGCAGGGCATAGTGGGCTCATTTCTGTAATTCTGGAACTTTGGAAGGCTGAGGCAGCAGGATTGACTGAAGCCAGGAGTTTGAGATCAGCCTGAGCAACACAGCAAGACCCTATCTTTACCAAAAATTAAAAAAAACCAATTAGCCAGGTATGCTGGCATCCACCTATAGTCTCAACTACCCAGGAGGCTGAGCAAGGACTGCTTAAACCCATGATTCTGAGGTTGCAGTGAGCTATGGTTATGTCACTGAGTTTTTAAAAAGAAAAAAAAATCTATGCATGGATTTCAAAAAATTTTTGCACCAAAATAAACTAGTACTAACTGGATGTAACATGTCTGAACAGGATCTAGTTTGAGATGCTAAGAATGATAAGACACCAATCTGGTGGCTAAAGATGAAGCTGATGCTGAAGCCCACAGTAGCAGACCACCATATTGATTTTCAAGGAAAAAACCAAATCTCATTTGTGTTGAAACTAAAGAGGACCAATGATTAACAGCAGAAACAAAAGCCAACACCACTGTTTCAAACTGGTTCAGCTTATACAATTCTGAGCGAAAATTTAAAGTTGTACAAACTTTCCACTTGACGGGTGCCAAAACTACTGCACCAAGATCAATTGCAGACAAGAGCAGAAATTTCAAACAAGCAGAAGCAAGATCCTACAGCATTTCTTTGAAGAACTGTAACAGGAGATGAAATTAGGCTTTATAGTATGATCCTGAAGACAAAGCAAAATCAGAGCAATGACTACCAAGAGGTCCAGTCAAAACAAAAGTAAAAGCCATATTAACGGTCTGGGGGAATGCTTTGGCACTTCTTCTGGAGTGCCAAAGAATAATAACATCTGATCATTATAATTGCTTTGAGAACATTAGTTAAAACTTTATCAGGAAAACGTCTAGGAAAGTTTGGCCAGAGAGTTCTTCTCTACCATGACAATGCTCCTGCTCATTCTTCTCATCAAACAATTTTTAAGAGTTTTGATGGGAAATGGTTAGGCATCCACCTTTCAGTTGATTTGACTCCTTCTGTCTTATTTTAGTTTCCTACTCTTACAAAAAACATTAAAGAGAACCTATTTTTCTTCAGGTTTAACAATGTAACAAAGTTAGTACTGACATGGTTAAATTCCTGGGACCCTTGGTTCTTCAGGGATGCCCTAAATAGCTGTTATCATCACATACAAAAGTGTCATGAGCTTCATGGAGCTTGTTTATATTTTTTTATTTGTATTTTATAATTCTATCTTTTCACAAATTTTTTCTCCTTATTTCTTTTCATCCTTTTGTTTGGCCTCATTTAGGTTCCTTCTTAAAAACAACACACACACACATATACATATAGTTAAATGGTGAAAAATAACATATACATAGGAAAGTATACAAAACACAAATGTTCAGTTGAATAGTTAGAAAATGAATACTCGGCTCGGCGCCTATAGCTCAACCGGCTAAGGCGCCAGCCACGTACACCTAAGGTGGCGGGTTCGAATCCCCAACCTGGACCCGCCAAACAACAATGACAGCTGCAACCAAAAAATAGCCGGGCGTTGTGGCGGGCACCTGTGGTCCCAGCTACTTGGGAGGCAGAGGCAGGAGACTCGCTTGAGCCCAGGAGTTAGAGGTTGCTGTGAGCTGTAATGCCATGGCACTCTACCCAGGGGGACAGCTTGAGGCTCTGTCTCAAAAAAAAAAAAAAAAAAAGAAAAAGAAAATGAATACTCAAGTAATCACCCCTTAGATCAAGAAATACAGTATTTTTACCTTAGTTTTTTTGTCTAGATAGTTCTTTAATGTTTTCAAGAACATAATTTAAATATTTTACCTAGTACTCATTTTTCAACTGGAGGGATCCAAATTACTTAGTCTACTGTTTTACCAGACATGGAATGGCAATAATCTCTGCTCAGAAACCCCCAGGAAAAACATCACTGTCTTAATTACTCATACCAAGTGTTCTCCCTAGACAGATTACTGTAGCAAGAATGCAAACTGTAAACTGGTTTAGACACAGGTTACGTGATCCATCCTGAGCCCAGGGTGGAGTCAATACCACCAGAAATACATAGTGTGAGAGTAGGAGAGGGTCAGACCCCCAAAGAGTAACAGGCTACGTATATCCAAAGGAGAAAGAAAAAACAAAACAGATGTCCATTACAGTTTATGAAGGATCATCAAATTGTTATTTATCATCACTTGTAAGGCAGAAGATTTGATTTGCTTTAGGGAATGTCATAAAGAGGAAATTTACCTTTTATTCTTTATCTTACTGTACTGCTTAAAATTTTTGTTTAAATATTGAATTAATGAATATTCTTTTATCATTATTTTTTTTTGAGACAGAGTCACCCTTGGGTAGAGTGCTGTGGTGTTATAGTTCACAGCAACCTCAAACTCTTGGGCTCAAGTGATTATCCTGTCTCAGCCTCTTGAGTAGCTGGGACTACAGGCACCCACCACATTGTCTGGCTTTTTTTAGAGACGGTCTCACTCTTGCTCAGGTTGGTCTCAAACTCCTGACCTCAAACAATCCATCTGCCTTGGCCTCCCAGAGTTCTGGGATTACTGGTGCGAGCCACTGCACTCAGCCTATTTAAAATTTTCAATGCAAAGCTTTTATTTGTTGTTGTTGTTAAGACAGAGTCTCACTATGTCACCCTTGGTAGAGTGTCATGGCATCACAGCTCACAGTAACCTCAAACTCTTGGGCTTAAGCGATTTTCTTGCCTCAACTTCCCAAGTAGCTGGGGGTACAGGGGCCACCGCAATGCCCGGCTATTTTTTGTTGCAGTTGTCATTGTTGTTTTTAGCTGGCCTGGGCTCATTCTTGGTGTATGTGGCCAGTGCCATGCCCACTGTGCTACAGGTGTTGAGCCCAAAGAATTCTTCTATTTATTGTAAATTTTAAGATTTTTAAAAAATGTTAAATCCGGCTCGGCGCCTATAGCTCA